GACGGCATGATGACAGGTTCGGTACCGGACATGTTTGAGGATCGGCTTGAGCCGGAATCGGCGTACTCCAGGTTCGTGCACCAGGGTGATTTATTTCCAGGATCGACATCATCACAACTATTTATTTCAGGTTCAGCATCATCATGACTATTTGTTACAGGATCGGAACCGTCACGGAGGCTTACCTTCAGGTCTGGAGCCACTATGACAATGTATTTCAGGTTCGGGATCCTAGTGGTAATTTATTTTCAGGCTCGGCGGTGATTTTTTTTCAGCTCCGGCACCGCTGCGGCAGACTATTATCCGGATTTGGCACCCTCGCGGTGGCATGTGTCATGTTTGGTGCCATTAAGACAATTTATTGGGGACACTGTGGCGACTTATTTCAGGTACGCCGCCGCCACGACGGCTTATTTCAGGTTCTGCGGCTTCGGGACGATTTATTTTCAAGTCTGGAGACTGCCGCAGTGGTCTGTCTCAGGCCCAGAACCTGGACGGCAGGTTATTCCAGGTTCGGTGCTATCACAGGTAATTAACTCAGGCTCGGCACCATCACTGCGGCCATCTATACCCGGTTTGGTACCACTATGGCGCGTTACAGCGGACAATCTGTGAAGATTTCCGGAATGACAGGCTGCCTGAACCGGAACGGGATAACTGAGGATTGACCCGGAGGCGGCACGCCTGGGCCTTAAGGGCCTTGGTACCACGACGCCCAGTTGTTGACCCGAGGACGGTGCTCACGTACCACCCGTAATAAGCCTGTGTTGGGCCTGGTACCGACGGTCTCGGCAGTACAAGCAAATGTGGAATGAATATARGGGGGAACAGAGGAGAGATCGGGGACAACATGCAAGGTGTACCTGGCCCACAACATAGTGGGATCCAGGCAGGTCAACGCGTTGGGAGCAGCATGCAAGGCGTTCCCCGCCCACGTAGCAGGCGACCAGGGGGAACTAGACATTTGGACAGCGGGGTGACCAGGGCGAAGGGGGGGGCGCGCTAGAGCGGGCAACCAGTGTGACCAGGATGCGCTGCAACGGGGTGCACCAGGGGAAGCAACGGCAGGGAACGCAGCGAATGTACCTGTTCGTGGAGCGCAGTGGTTAGAGAGAGAGAGAGAGAGAGAGAGAGAGAGAGAGAGAGAGAGAGAGAGAGAGAGAGAGAGAGAGAGAGAGAGAGAGAGACTGAGTAGTGGAAGAGTGGGGCACTGCGCAATGTGTGAGCATGAGAGAGAGACTACGCAGTGTGAGAGAGAGGGACTGAG